CCGCCTGCTCCTGCCCCGGCGAAGCCGCCCTCCTCAGCCAGCGCAGCGGGAGCAGGAGGGAAAGCCCAGGGGAGAGGGAGAAGTGCCGTTTTCCTGCCAGAGCACCCCGAGTAGTTTCTGTGCCAGAGGCCAGACTCTGTTCACAGGCTCTCGCTCCAGAGCCGAGCCGTGGGAACGCACTGGTGGAGAAAACAGCCCGGTCTCATCCACACTCCCCTTTCCCATCCCACCCTGGTGTCCCCGCACCAGCCCCATCGCCGGCAGGCGCGGAGCCTTCACCCCGTGCTATGCGGATGAGCGTTGCCCACAGGGTGCCGCCCGCGTTGGGGTGCTGCCTTCCTCACCCGTGGACCCCCAGTCGATGCTCCGAGAGCAGCAGCTCTGGGAGAAGTTTTCCCATGGCTCTACCCGGTCCCTGCAGCAAATCCCTTCCCGGGGCATCACACATCCAGCTGTGCCCCCCCACCAACCCCCCAAAAAGAGCTCAGTGCCGGGCTGGACGCCGGCTCCCCATCCCAGCATTCTCAGACACCGGCTCCAGTGCAGCAGCGGCCGGCACTGGGGACACCGCGCGGGGCTCCGGAGCCTTTCTGCAGGGAAAGCAAAGCGGTTTTTTTTTCACGGGTTTGGGTAAGTAAAGCCGACCGCAGGCTCTGAGGCAGCGCAGGCTGCCCTGCTGATGCTGCAGGAATTAAAACAAGAGCGGCGTGTCACACGACAGTGAAATATTGGATGGTGACGGCCGGGCCTGGTGCAGCCGGAGCGCTCTGTTAGGATACGGCTTTCAGTGTCATCGCTGCAGCGATGCGTCAGCGGGGCTTTGGATATTTCGTATTCGGTGGGCGGTGGAGGAGTTATTTGTGAGGAAAGCCGGGGAGGCGGCGGGGAGGGGGGTGCGTTGAGCCCCCTGCCCATCGTGGGAGCTGAGGTTCACATCCCCCCCATCACTCACCCTCGGCGGAGCCAGCCCCAGACCTGCCAGCGGCCGCCTTCGCTCCGGTCCTGTCCCCGCGAGCCCTGCCGCCAGCGCCCCGACTGACGATGGAGCGGGGGGAGTGTGGGAGGTGATGCCTATTTCCAGTCACACACCCATGGTTGTCTCCAGCAGGAGCCCCCAGCTGGGAGCATCTCCTCTGCGCTGGTTTAATGTGAAAAATACTAAAAAAGCCCATCTTTCTGTGCCCAGGGCAGCTTTGTCCTGGTGAACCCCTCCCAGGCAGTGGCGTTTCTGGCAGCTCAGGGCTGTGCAAGGGGGGCTGCGATCTGAAATACCCCATTCCCCCCCGCTTTGCACCCAGGGACTGTCCCAGGCTGGGGATCACGGGGCTGCAGGTAAGGAGCGAGGGGCACGACGGGGCTGCCACCGACATCCCAAAGGCCACCAAGGTGGGATGCTGCAGGGCAGGAGGACAAGGTGGCTGCCGGGGGGTGTCAGGGTACCCCACGGCCGCCCTGCCGCAGCTCACCCCGGGGGAAAGGGCAGGAGGGTAAAACGTGCCGCCTCGGTGGAGCGAGCAGGGGAGGGAGCCACAGCCACTGCCCAACGCTCCCAGTAAAACCAGCAAAATAAAACCTTCGGCTGGTTCGTTGCTGACTAATAAACAGCAGCGCTGTTGCCGCTGCGAGTAACAAAGTTTTCCTTCCCGGCCACTTGATTTTAGTGGGAACTTGACCTCATATTGGAAAAGCCTCGCAGGGCTGCTGGCGGCGTAATGAGAAATCTCTCCCGGTTATTGCAGTGAATAGGCTGATGCTGCAAGTGCTGGAGTGGCTCCGCTGCTACTTCACACGCAGACTGTCCCCGGGCAAGTGAGATTAATTACAGCTCCCGCCTGCCCGGCCGGAGCAGCAGGAACAGATTTATCGCAGATCGGAGGTGGTGGGAAGCAGAGACCTGCGTGTCCCGTAGAGCTCCCCAGTGTGCCAGGAGCACAGATCCGGCCCCGCGCTGCTCGGAGCAGGGCTGGGACTGGTCACTTTGCTGCGGGGCTGCGCATGCGACGGTGCTGCCTCTGCGGGGGCTGTCATCGGCGGTGGGGCTGTCACCGGGGGTGTTTGCAGCGGGTCGCTCTTGCAAGAGACCACCAATCCCACCACCCCAAAGCCCATGAGAAGCCAACTCCCCCTCCTCGCCACTGGCACCCCCCGCCCCATGCAGACGAGGAGCCCCAGCGAGGCCGAGGGGCTCCGCTGCTCTCCCGAGCCCCCGCGGGAGGCATCCTCGCCGTCCCCACTCCCTCGGCCCTCGGGGTTGATGCCTGTGGCGCCTGGTGCTGTGGAGGGGCTGAGCATCACCCTGACCACGCTTCCAACTGTGCCCGCCTCGGACCCAGCCTGGCTCCTGGCGCTGGGATGGCCAGTGCCCCCCTGGTGCTTGATAGCCAAACCCGGTTCTGATGAGCTGGGAGAGGCTGGGTTTGGACCTGGAGCCTTCCTGTCGCATTTCTACAGCTCCTCATAATCAGCACCAACGCTGCCTTGGACTTCTTTAAATTAACTATCTCCTAATGAACTGCACTGGTCTCTGGAGGGCTCCCTGACTCTGTTCTGATGGGAAGAGCCTTGTCTTTGATGGAGACTCCGTGGAGAGGTCTCTTCCCTCCCAGACCCGCACAAACGCCGGCAGCCTCGTGGGCAGTCGCGCAGCCTGCGATCCCCAGCCAGCTCCATCCCAGAGAGCTCCCAGGCTCCAGATCCGTGCCGCTGCTTTAGGTCAGGGCTCGACCCTCCTGTCTCTGGGGGTTGTTTCAGCCCTTGCTGGGAATGAGCTGCTTTCAAACCGCTCAGGGAGAGTCTCCATCCTCGCTGCCGCTGCTGCACTGGCCGCACGTCCTGCCCAGGGCTGCTCGAAGGGGGAATCGCCAGCAAGGCACGAGCAAAGGGCACAGCAGACCCCCAAACTGCCCTTCCCACCACTAGGTCTGAAACGGGAGCTGCCACTTCCCGAGCCAAGGACACCTCTGCCCTTCCCTGCCCACCTCGCACCCATGTCTCCTGCCGGATTTCAGCCCACTCCCCGCTTGCTCCAGGACGCGGACTGCAAAAAGCCAAGGCAGGAGGACAGCCAGGCTCCAGCTGAGATTCGGGGGAACCAACCTCAAGCTGCGTCCTGACCAGAAGGAGATGAGTGCTGCAAAGCCTGGGCGTCCCATCCCATCCCATCCCATCCCATCTCATCCCATCCCATCCCCATCCCCATCCCATCCCATCCCATCCCATCCCACCCCACCCCACGCGGCCAGGAGGGAAGGGGTGGGGGATTGTACATATGTGTATATACTGGACATGCCAGCAAAGGGGTTTATTATACTGACACTCTGCAGCCCGTGTTTTGCTGCGGCTGCTGGAGCAGCCCCTCCCCGTGCACGCAGAAGCGAGTCGGACCCAGCCCTGCGGGGGTCCCTCGGGTCCTCCTCGCCCTCCCTGTGTGCCATGGGGCTGGTGGCACCGTGCGTGAGCCGAGAGGGGCTGCAGAGGTTGCTCCCACATTGACCAGCAACTTCTGCAGGGCAA